TCGAGTCTGGGGCGGGCAGTGGCGGGAGGGAGCGCGCCGGGCGGGGCGCGAACGGCGCTGATTCGGCCAATCGGCCGAATTCGTTGGTGGTTGACGGCAAACTTGATGCCAACCCCGTCAGAGGGGAGTACTGTGGGCCGACCAGCGGCGGTGGGGACGTCGCCGAGAGGTCTCGTGAGGGAATGATCCCAACATCGGCCAAGGGAAAAGCCCCCGAGGCTTGTGGATCAGGACAAGGGACGCAGCACGGGTTGGCGGAGATTCCGGAGCCCCTGGGCTGCGGAGATCGGATCTTTGAGGGCGACGAGGCGGTTGATGCCGGGGCCCGAACGACGGGCGAGCGGGGCGGTTCGGATCACGGCGGCGATGGGGGCTCACAGGCCGGCGGGGTGTTCTGGCTGAGGCTGGGGTGGATGGCGATCGGAGGGGCGTGCGTGGCGGCGGCGTCGCTGGCGATTCACGTGGCAGGCGCAGCCCTGCAGGAGGACAGGGCCGGGTGGAGGGAGCGCCGCGGGCGGGCGGGCTGGGCGCAGGTGTTCTTCCGCTGAGGCGGGGGCGGCCTCGAGGAGCGCCGTTGTGCGCCTTTGTGGGTGCGTGGCGACAGAGGGGCGCAGGGAGAGCGAGAGGGGTGGGGGTGGGGCGGGGTGGGGGTTGTTCCCAGGAAAGAAACGGCTCACACAAAGGGGCCCCTCCCCCCAGCAAGTGTATGCGAGACTCATGTCCATGCTGTGAAAATATGAGTTCTGGGGTGGGATACAGAAGGTGGTGCGAGGAGTGACTCAGAGGAAAGTGTTTGGGGCGCTGGAAAGTACACCGGTGGGCGACGGACAGGGAGGGGCAGAGTGCAGCGGTCGGAGGGTAATTGGCATTCTGTCAGACTGACAGAACATGGAGTGTTCGGCCTTGACTCGACGTGCTACTCCTACTAGGGGTGGGGAAGGGGGATTTTGGATATGGCGTTCTCGATATGGGGACACTGGGGGTGCGAGTGGTGTCGTCGAGAATGTGAGGATAAGAAGGGTCCTTTGCAATGTGCGTTTGGCTCACGTACGCAGAGTATTATTACCTTGTTGGCACAGAGGGGTTTGTACGATATGGGGTGGCCTGCGTCGTGTGGGGGCGCTCAGGCCGATGACTGCCTGGGCGATAGAAGTGGTTCATCTCATGTACAAGTGCTAGCTAATTAGTTAGCATTGAGCTTGGAAGCCGAAAGCCGATGTAGCAAAGCTACCATAATGGAAGTGGGAATGGCATGCAGCAACAGCATCGCGGTCATTCGTGTCATTTGCCTTGTGATAGGACTCGACTTCTGCACACATGCCCACAGATGTCCATACATAGAATGAAAAATCCAGGGGGCCCATAATTTTACACAGACAAATGAGTACTTAAGTGCATGCGCACCATCCCAACACAGCACTAAGGCCCGCACGCACTTTGTTGTTCTCCGCCCTCGCTCACCATACCGCCCGGGGTACCTCTGGCCCAGCGCTGAGCGATTGCAAAAGTCAAGGGCATGCAGGCCACTGCAGCGTCCTCGTGAACATGGCGAGCGGTGAGTTGCCAGTGTGGCAATGCAACATGCGTCCCTTGGTCCAACGGAAGAATGCGGGCCTGCATGACAATCAGGCTATTCACCCTTGTGTGCAAGATATGGACTGTGCAGTGTTATGTAGCAGATTAACATGATAAGTACAGCAAGTATATGTAAAGAAACACATTCGAAAGCCACACCATTATTGTCCGACAACAAAGCACATACGCACTTGCGATTTCATAACACAACACTGGGCGCTTGGCGACAGTCAGCACAAGAATTCCACAGATCACTTTGCAATGCCATTATGCCTAACAGTAGCACATACCATATGTCCATTGGCACTGTCCATTGGCACATCGCGCTGAATCAATACACAATTATGTACTGCGGTGACTCACCCCAGTGCTTCACAAGAAATTAACTGCACCGCAGAGGTGCAGTTTAATTTCTTTGTGCAGAACATGTTGCTGGTACCATGGCACCAGAGTGCTGATGGCGCACTTGAGGCCGACGAATTTGGGGATGGATTGTTGATTAGCTGATCAATAGATCTGTAGATTGATCCGTTTCAGGTGGGTTGTCCAACCGACGCTGCCGCTTCCAGCGAAATATGGTGTGCGCACGATCTTTTCAAAATGTACAGAAATAACCGTAAAAATGGATATTCGAAACACCGCAACTTGGGACTTATTGTTGGATTTATGAGCTTCAAACTGCGAGCCTGGCACATCTTTCGTGAGTGGTTAGGGTAAATTTTCCTTATCGATGACAAACAATTGGCTGTGGCGCGCGACAACTGGCGCTTATATTTTTACCGTGCATGATAATATGTTGCTAACGTACCGGATACTGTGTGGTGATGAGGGCGGAATGCTTAAGCGATCGTTCAAAATGCGGAAATGTATATAATGCTCTTAAGAACTCTGTGTTCCATGCTTCCAAAAACACTGTCTGATTCGCAACCAACTGAAGCAAATCACTTTCAAGCAGTTTTAATCAAATCGTTTACCCCTTTTGTAGGCATCGTCGCAAGTGCACTACTTATGCTCATGAAGTCCTGCCTGACCACACGTTAGCGGCGAATTTTCACAGACAGCCATGCAATTCTACATAGTCTATGTTTGGTAAACATATTCTATGTAATACATAGAACATGTTATATCATAACCGTAGCCGTATTCTCCCCGTATCTTTGTAGCGTTTCTCTTTCCAAGCCTTGTTGATTCGTGAACTCCGAGGTTGCGGCGCGCTCGTTACTACACATGAACGCGCATGCTATTGCGGGCTCCTCAGCACCTACGGAAGGATTATCGCGATTCTGGCGATGCGCGGAACAATTTTGGAATGCTCTTTGCATAGTTTCTTGTGGACGAACGCTCGCATGTACTGAGCGGGAACTGCCACTAAAACAATAAAACGTCGGTATGACAGTTCTGGACAATCAATGCTGTTCTCATGCGACGTCGGGGCTGCTGTAAGCTACTAGATGCGGACACAAAATGTGGGCTCCATCATCACATGGCAAAATGTGTCGCAAATTGCAGGTAGGGGGTGATTTGATGGAACAAATGTCTGCCTCGAGCGCACATAGTCACCAAATGCTCGCGAAGACGTTGTTGTTCACAAGAGCATCGTATTGGTGGTTGCCCATAGAATTTCCCCAGGGACATGAATGCTGCAACTGCATCGATGGGCGAATAATTGTGCACACAGTTCCGCACAGCCTCTGTCGCAGCCAATGATCCAAACGAACACGTCCGTGGTGCTCGGTTGTCGTTTGGTCCAAAGCCAACCGCTGTGCTGTGTTTGGAGCAGAGCACTACTGAAGTCCTTGGAAATTGTACGCCACAAACGATATTTCACCACTACGTTACTATCAATGTTTGCATCTGCCGCGAGCTGAGCACCGCAAGGGTCAAACACCTTGATGTCGTATACCCTTCATTTCTACGCAGATGATATGAAGGGTGGGAAACTAATTTGGCCGTGCATGCTGGTCAAGTTTAAGTTAATTGTTTTTTAGATTTTGGGGGGGGGGGCTTAAAGTGTGGTAATTTCTTGCTTTGTGTTTTGGGCATCCTATCCTCGTAACATTCATGACTCCATATCCAGACGCAATAGATAACGGACAATCCTCCCGTGACCATTGAAACGTCGCTTTAATGGAACATTGAACTAAATTATGCCTTCTGAAGTCAGTGTGCTTTGCCGCCGCCCAGCCTGCAAACTTAGCCGAGGAATGAATGTAGGACAGCAGCCAAGCTCGACCTCCCCTATTCTTTCTTGGCTCAAAGGGCAGCCTCTCTGTTGCATCAATATCGGTGCTGACATTCATAAAAAACAAATGGCAGGCAGCCATTTCCGAGTTGTGGGAAAGTTGAAAACAATCGCTTGCCAACGAATACCGACACAATGACAAGCAATCCTCGGTGATGCCCACCTGCAGCCCATGCAATCACACGCCTTCAACTGGGCGAAGAGGCTCTTGGTTCGTGGTGCCCTGCCTTCCGGCTGGGTTGTCGCGACGCGTCTGACACGCGGTGTCCTCCCCACCACAATGAACCTTGGGAACCACGTGTGCGTGCGTGTGACCTGGTTCAGATCACCTGGCGCAGCCGGCGTACAATTACCGGCTGCACCAAATCGGTGACTTTCTGCACTAAATCGGTGACTGCTTGAACCAACTTCCTGCAAAATTTACCTAGCCTAAACCCTAAAACTAAACCTAACACTAAAACTGAGGTTAGGACCTAGCGTGCACGTGATCAGGTGCAACCAGTCACTGATTTGGTGCAGGCAGTGATATTATTTCGGCGGAGCCTGCTGCGCCCCACCGAGTCACCGCAGCGTCGGTCGGTCACCGGCGCGGGTGGAGCCATCCCACGATCCGATCCCTGCCTGTCGCCTCTCACGCTCCACCCATCGCCTCACCCATCAAGCCCCCACCCCTGACTGGGTACCGAACGGCTCGAGTCATTGCCCCCGGGGATGTACACGCCGTGCTGCGATGTGCGGTCGTCGCTGCGCGCCGGCCGTACGTTGCGCGGTGCGCCGCGAACTCAGCGTGAAGCGCCTCACCCCCGACTGCGATTCGTCACCGGGGCTCGCGCCTTCACCGACCGCCGCGCCAATACTTTGCACAGTACGTGGCACATCGGTGATACCCCGCATCAGCTCCGCCTTGTTTCTGGCACGGAGGTCCGGCCCTGGCCTTGAAGGGTGGTACCACCGCCATCCACACCACCGCGCACCCAGGCCACCGCGCTCAGCTGCTCCGCGGGCGACCCCGGCCGCGAGTCAAGCTCCCACTCCGCCGCCGGCTACGTCCAACTGCCCCTGCGCCCACCTCTACGCTCGGGCCTGCTGCAATCTGCGCCCTCGCCTTCCGGAGTCGGTTCTGAATCTGTCATCTTGGGCCACCGCCTGCCAGGCGCGCCCTGCTTGTCGTCCTGGCCGGCAGATCGGCCGCTTGGCGTGTGTCCGTCCGGCCGAAGCCCGGGATCTTCGATGGCGGGGGCTGCAGACAGCGCTGGTTGCAGCGCCCCCGGGGCCGCTCCTGCTGACATCCGGATGGCGCGGACGCCCCGCGAGGAAGACTTTTCAACGTCCCTGAGGGAGAGGATTGCTCTGCGGTCGACCTCTGTTGATCCACGCAGGAGCCTCGCACGCGTCGGGGGCGATGCGTCGCCGTCGCGGGGCGCGGAGGGGTGGGAGATGGGGAGTGGGAGGAAGCGGCGGGGCGCGGAGGCGGCCGGCGACGAGGACTTCATCCTGTTCCTAGAGGCGTTCCTGGCGGACGACGGCGGGCAGTGGCTGCACCGGCGGGGCGGGGCGGGCGCCTGGAGGGAGGGCGACTTCCGAGGTGAGGGGCAGGGAGGCGATGGCCGGGCGAATTCGTGCCACTCGGTGACACTGCGGGCCGTTCGCGTTGGGACGCGGTGTGCCTTGCGCGGCGACGGAGACGTGGTGATTCACGGCCGGACTGGAGACAATGGGGCCGGATGGAACCCGGCTTTGCCTGCGTTCGGGCGCCATCGGTCGCGGGTCCGTCGCTTGAGATTCCCAAAACCCGTCGGGGCGGCCATGGGCGGCGCTTCGCTCCGCGAACGGTCGTCCGACCTCCCCGCGGGGTGCCGATCGGGATTTGGGGGGCCCGGGCAGGACGGGCTCACTCGGCCGCTGGACAACTGGCCGCGGCGATCAGCCGCGCTGCGCATATGACGTTTAGGCCAAGGTGGAAAATGCCACAGTGGACCACCCGGGCAATCTTCGACTCGCGCGAGGTTGGAGTGCCGCGGCCGTTCGTTGGCCATGCGAGGCGTCCCCCGCGCTGGCGGCGGAGCCGCGGAAGGTTGGCGGGGCTTGGCGGATCCCCCCTTCGCCTCGACTGGCCGCGAGCTGTTGTACAGACCGTACATCGCCGTTAGTGGGCCTAAGTCACGGACAAGTGTGAGGGCTGGCGCCGCGCGGCAGGCCAACGCCGCTTGGGACCACTTCGAAGCAATTTCTTGCCGGGCGCCCGCCGTCCAGTACGTCCGCCCCGGCTCAGGGTAGCCGTGCTGTCCTTGCGCAGGCGGCGATTCGGCTCACAAATCGGGGATGCCGAAGTCAGCCGGAGTCGGCGGCAGGTTCCTCGGCCATCGCAAGCGCCAGAGACCGCTCGGAGACGTCAGCAACCTCCTGGCCGCGTCGCAGCCCGGCAGGGCGTCCGACTGGAGCCGCTGGCCGGCCGCCGCGATGCTGGACGACGGCCGCACGCCAAGCCCTAGCGTTGTCCCCGGACGACACAATACGACAAACCCACCAACTTGCCCGGATGCAGGGGAAGGAGAGAGACGCGTGGGGGGAGCCCCAGACGCCCGGGGCTGCGTCCGGACGATCAGTCACAGGCATCGGCGGGGCTGCGATTCCGATCGCGGATGGGAGCCGGACGGGTGGGACGTCCGCCGGATGGGCGCATTGCCGCCCGGCGAAGCGGCGATCGACGCCCTGTCGTCGAGGATGTCTCGCCTGATGTCGGACTCGGGCGCCCTGTCGACAAGCTCCGGACGGTTCGGCTCCCAGGCGAGCCCTTCCGCGCGCCCGGAATTGAGGGCGGGCATCTGCCTGGCTCTGAGCGCCAACGATGGCGCGGTTGAGATGGAGTGTGACGTGTGCAATGTACTGGAGGCAGCAAGCAAGGCAGGAAGCCCATGTGGGAATGGGTGGTCTCAGGAGGGTAAGGTGTAGGTGTGCTGGAGGGCGGTCTGTGAGGGCTTTGCTGCTGTCGTCAGCTCTGGTCAGCGAATTCCGAGCTAGCGGGGATGTGTCTCGACAGGCCAGGCGTGAGGCGAATCGACGAACGCCATGAACGAGCTGTCTGGGCTGCGAATTCTGGAGTCGAGATTCTGTCGGAGCCGCACCCGAGCAGCGGTATATCCGCATCCGCAAACAGACGGGGGGTTTTGGGGAGTCTGAAGGCGACCGTCATATGAGGGAGGCCCACAGTGAGATGCGGGCGGATGCCATTTTGGGGAGAGTGCCCAGGTGGTTGCATGCAGGGTCGTCTGAGAACCTGGATGCAGACCGCTTGGCAAAACGATGGACAACCGGTCCATCAAACGCACGCTGGCAACGATGCAAAGCAGATGAACGTCGTTTGGTGCTCGACGTTTTCTAAGTGTCTGGAGGGGCTGCTGTCGGCGCGGAAGGGCAAACTAGACAATAGCGGCGAACTAGGAGGGGTGGAAGGGGGGAATGTAAATTACTGTTCTTGTCTTCTTGCCTCACATTCCTGGGCGAAAATGATCTGCTTCGTGATCAGCGTGGGCCAGGTTCGGCATTGTCAAATCGGCACAAGTTGGAAAGCCCACGCGCATGTCCCACAAGCCATCATGCCGCAATTCCTGATGAGTGTGTGCTTCAAACACCGACGATTACAGCGTATGTACGTGGTGTTTGCACGTGCAGCACCTCGCTACCTTAGCCGTCATATCCATTCACGGCAAAGAAAAGGATCGAACGCATGCGCTACTCCAGCAGTGCAACGACGCCGATGGACAGGGCAGGAATTCTGGCAGTGATACCTGCACAGCCTCCCCGCCTGGACGGCATATACCATCAAATCCCAGATACATACGGGATTTGGCACAAGTTGATGCGCACTGTTGGCGCAGTGCCATTGAAGCAACACCACAATATGCTGCAGCACGCTACTGCAGGGTGCATTTCAGCATTCAAACAATATTGGCACTCAAGTGAGCGTTCGTGACCATTGCTCCACGGTGATTGCTGCGGAATATCTCGCCATCGGCGATGTTACACCAGCACTGTTTCATCAACTGCTGTCCAAATCCTTGGGAACATGGCTGCACGTTCAGATTGTCACCACAGGCACTTGTTGTATTCACCGAGTGAAGTGGAGATTCCAGGCAGGCAAGAAGGAAGTCAGAACATGGAATCCCTATCGACCAGCACCGGTGACTTTGCAAGATTCTATCCTCCGGATTGACACTGAATCGATTTTGCCACGCTTGATGCCGAATCGTAGTTAACATTCCCAGTCTACCACCTGGTGTCGATGCTTGTGTTGATGCAGAACTTAGCATCAGCACTCGACATCACAAAGCAATATTTCAGCACAGAATAGGTCGCGTCGACGCTCTGCCAGGCTATTCGAGTTGCCGTCACCCTGTGGGCGGATGCGAGCTGTTTCCCGATCAGACCTCAAGCAATAAATGTCTGTTTTATGCGTGCATCGATCTGCCATACCAATAGGCGAATATCGCATTCGAGCACAATCGATAATTGTCAGCAGCTCCGCCTCCGCATCGTTGGGAATGGCCCGTGCAACAGCAATGACGGCCTGAACAGCTGTGCGCGTGATTTGGCGCATTTGTGCTCAGGGAATGGCAGGGTGGCTCTTGGTGTCATGTCCTGGAGGATGTCCCTCGCCTAGCAGCCCTTGCCTGAAATGTACGCCAGAGACACGTGGCACAACGAGTTGGGCGCAGAGCGGGGCAGCCCGCCGGCCCCCAGGCGGTGTACGAGTTCCTCTCCAGCGGCGCCGCGCACAGCTGGACCGCCTAATTAGGACGATTTACAACATAGTTGGGACTGGCGGATGTTGGATTTAGGACATCACCTGTAACCGGCGCGGGTCACTCAGACCACGCCCCCATCGGTCCGGTGACTCATAGCCGGGCGAGTCATTGGCGCCGTGGGTCCCAACCGGGCTGTCGTCTGAGCACCAGAAAGGAGAGGAAGATTCGCGTCAAGTCACTTTGTTACGAGAAAGGGCGAAAGCCCTCGCGGTTCTTATGCTGCACGAGAGAATGGGCACACGCCCCAATTGTGTCGCAAACCTTTCCCGTCCGCGTTTCACGTGTCTCCACGTCATTGCCCGTCACCGTGTCCTCCAATCATTCAGCACGTTAATTAAACCCCCTTACCGTACTAACATAAGTAAAATCCCCCTAATACCTTCATAGAATCGTAGATTTAGTTTGTATATCTCATCAGATTTCAATGAACCGATCACCGACTCTGCTTTGCTCAGGCAAAATAGGAAGCTGACCGCTACCTCATTGCCTTGTTCTGTAAAAACTCATGATGATGATGAAAATCCCCCAAATGTACAAACCGTACTCATCCCGTCCCTCAGTTTGCCCTCGCCAGAACGGTGGCTCCTGGGGCACCTCTTGGGTCGGCGGGGTGAATATTGGTGCGTCGATAGCCGCTGCGACAGAGGCTGTTTCGCATCCAGACGCTGTGTCGACCAGCCGGCGTCGGCTGAGAGATGCGCAGGTCTTTGGAGTCCACCAGGGTGTAGGCAAGGAAGCGCCAACAAACCGCTTGCGCGGGCCTGTCACCGGGAATGGCGTCCTCATCCACCGTGTCCCCCCTGGCCAAATACAAGCTGGTGAGCCATGGGCGCTGTCCAGCCTGAGGCCGGCGCTCCCAAATGCCCAAGAGTTTTCCTTACGTTAAGGGCCCCTCTGCCGTCTCAGGTGTTCCTTGGCGACCAATCGGCGGGGAAGACGAGCATCATCACCAGGTTTATGTATGACAAGTTCGACAACACATACCAGGTTGGTTGCGGGGCCGATCCTCTGTTCTGGACGGTGAGCTGCTGGTCGTTGGTGTGCTGCAGCTGATCGCGACCTGAGTTTCCGCATCCTGCCAGGCCACGATTGGAATCGATTTCCTCTCCAAGACAATGTATTTGGAGGACCGAACCGTGCGCCTGCAGCTGTGGTGAGTGCCTGGGGCGCATCCGCTGGCTGCCTTTGCGTCTGCTGTCGTCTGGCAGCTGGCCCTGTTGCGTGCCTGTCCTGATGCGCGCAGAGGTTTGCGAAAAAGAGACCCGTAGTGTTGTGCAAAAAACGATCTAGCCACGGCCAGTTTGCTTAAAGGAGGGGTGAAAAATGTATGGCCTGTGCCCTTCTCTTCAAGAATTAGTGGCTGTCTGCTTGACCGTTGTGTGCTGTTCTCGGACGCTTGCAGGGACACAGCAGGCCAGGAGCGCTTCCGAAGCCTGATCCCCAGCTACATCCGTGATTCATCGGTGGCTGTCATAGTCTACGACGTCACCAGTAAGTCCGTTTGGTGAAAACGGCTAGGCCCTGGGGCGGCTTGCCTTCCATGGTTATTTTCAGGGTGCACCAGCAACAGTGGGACCTTTTGGTGTTAAGGTGGTAGATAGACGCAAATGGTGCTGAGACAGTTTTGTGCTGCACGAATGTCCCAGATGCCAAGCGTGTGCAGTTGCACTTGTTCCCACCAAGGTCAAAAACTGCATGTGCCGTTGTGAAGACAAGGGATAAGCTGGCAGCCAGATGTCTGGCAGACTCCCATTTGCTTGTCTGCGATAGGTGGACTGCCTCGGCCAGTTTGCTGGTGAACGACACTTCCCTGTGAAGGACTCCTCGGAAATGAGTCATATTCCTGACCCAGTGGGCGTCTTGCACTTGCAGACCGCCAGTCGTTTCTCAACACCTCGCGATGGATTCAGGAAGTGAGGCAGGAGAGGGGGCATGACGTCATCATCGTCTTGGTTGGCAACAAGACCGATCTGGTGGACAAACGGTAGGAGCCACCCTGGAGCAGAGTTTGCAAATGTTCCTGCTCAGGAGGGGCTGCCATGACAGTGTACGTTTATTTTCTGCAAGGGTTAATTTGCTCTGTACTCAAGCTGGAAAGAAAATGGTCATCAGGATGTAACCTTATCATTCTACGCACCATTTCCAGGCCATCTTGGGTTGACAGCACATCGTGTTCTGGTCGCACTTGTGTTTTGCGTATGCCTTGATGTGCATCTTGTCTGGTGTGTTGAAAAAGAATGCTTCACATGGCTGCTGAGGTGTGCTGTGCATTGTGGTTGGCCCTTCCCAGACAAGTGTCGATAGAGGAGGGGGATGCCAAGTCCCGAGAACTTGGTGTGATGTTTGTTGAGACAAGTGCAAAGGCTGGCTTCAATATTAAGGTAAGCTTGCTGTTTGTAGACTGTCTTCTCCTGGGACCTTGCTGGCACCAATTCCTGTTGTTACTTTCATGTTTGCCATTATGAAGGTGCCCTTTGTTGTCAGGACAGCCAGTTTCTTCTGCACGGGTTCAACCATAATTAGCAGTAACCCTGGACAACCATTTGTACTCCTTCTCCCAGGTGGACCCATACTGCTGCAACCCCACTATTGGTTAGCCTTCCTGGATTGCTGCTCCAAGCCGGTCTGTGTCCAACAGAAGTTGGGGCAGAAGGATGACACAAATTAGACAAACCATGAGGTTTACAATATTCGCCTTGGCCACAAAGATGCATTAATCTGCATTGATCGCATATATCACAATGTGACGAATCTCCGCCCTTGCAAGGACTGTATCAGTTGTATGGGAACTGTGCAGCCATTCTCCCGTTTTTGTGAAGCAGGTTGGCCACAAATTGGGCAACTGCGATCGGTACATTTTTCGTGGGCTGCACATGTGCAGCATTGTCCACAAGCTGCAGGGGCACTCTGCCCTCAACATTTAGCTGGGCACTCGCTACCAAGGTCGTTTGGTACAGTCCACAAATTGCTGCAGTCCGCACTGTGCTGTGTTGTGAGCGCTGCTGGCGATGCACCAGCGGCTTGGCAGTTGACTTGACCAAAGGGTGCCAAAGTTGTGTCCTGCCTTCTTGCCCAGGCCCTGTTTCGAAAGATCGCTGCGGCCCTGCCAGGAATGGAAAACGTGTCCACAGCCAAGCAGGAGGACCTGGTGGATGTGACACTCACATCGTCTGCGGGGACGGGTACTGGTGCAGACACAGCTGCCAGCCAGTGCTCCTGTTGAGGTGTGGCTGCCATCGGTGCTTTGTATGGCTTTGAACTATGGAGAGCATGCATGGCTCCAGGAAGAGGCACCAGCTCCCATGGCTCCTCATGCAGGGTGCTGCGCACAGTGGGGGCAACATGAAGTGCAGATGCTGGAGAACGTGGCTGCCTTCCTCCATTCGATCGTGTCGTTCCACATTCCCGATTCTGGCAGGGTTGGAGATGGAGCCGTGTGTTAGTGCGCTGCCCTGATGCATGTCACAAGTTACGAGGATCGAACTGGAGTTGAGAGGTGCATGTGTACAGCAAGAGCCATGACCTTTGTGAGAGGGGAAGAGGGGATAGGGGGTAGTGGTTCAGAGGTTGTGAATGTGATAGTGCGTCTGCAGAGTGGGTTTGTGATGTGATGCGCCTGGATGCGAGTCAAATGATCATACGCATCAACATGCACACAGACAGTTGAAATTTGTCATCCCCTGGAAGCATGGACCCATGCTTCTCCAAGGCAAGCGGGAATGTGCTAACCTGTGGGTGGAGCTATGGACCACTTCTGAATGATGGCACTCGATGTTGTTGCTTTTCGAATTTCTGCTTGCAGACTGCTCTGACTGGCCAGGGTGCAACGAAGTTGTGGAACAAGTCTGTGCAGATGGTGCCATTCCCGCCTGGGCAGGTGGGATCGATGCTTTGCATTCCTCTGTGGTGCAAACAATTACAACAGCTCGTCTACTTGTACCTAGATGCTATTCTGTTGCTCGTCGGAGGCCTTGAACCAGGCTTTGCTGACAGGGTGGAGTACTGTGGCAATGGGAGGTGTTACAAGCAACACATTTCAAGACACGCAGGTTCTTTATAGCAAGCCTTCTATGTTTGGCAACCTGCCATGTCTTTGAATATTCAAGCAGCCCCTTAAAATGGTGGAGTGCTCAAAATGCATCAGCGATGCCCCTGAGGACTCTCGGGCGCCAGGGCACCAACGACAATTGCACATGTGAGGAAACCGCACGCGGACCAAGCGCATGGGTTTCGGGTGGAACGAACTTTCAGCAATTGCACTGAATGTTGGAGGTCGCCTGATAGGTGTGCACTTCTGGCGGTCAGGAACAACATGGTTGACTGATCGGTGGACTGGCCTTGCTGGACGTGAAACTGATTCTCAGGCGCTGTAGCCTCCTTCGCGTCAATCACTATGTCGATGCCATATCGTACTCTGTATTCGGATAGGGACAGATCGGACCCCTGGCCTGGTTCCGCGTGGTCGATGGGCGCCCCAGGCAATCGGAGGTAGTGGCCCAGGTGAACAGACGGCACCAGTCGATGCCGCGACCTGCGTCTGGCGTCTCCACAGCCAGTGCAGTGGTCGCAACACGCTTTCGAGTTTGCTGCACTTCACAGGGATGCCAGCAGCAAGTTGAACGCTGGAGAAAAGTTCTTGGAAGAATTATGTAATCACTTATCAGGCCAGACATGTAACGTCTTACCAGCACCTTCGTTTGCAGTACACCATGGAAAGCTTTGCCCAAGACAAAACTAAGTTGATAAAGCCGCCCTGGCGTGCACCCCTCTTGTGTCCATGCAGCTTGTGCCCCTGCTAGGTGCGTTTTCCCACCCCCGGCGGATAAAACAGCAGGTTGCAACGCCGTCACCAGGACGCCACCCTCTCCAAACTTCTCTCGCGATGACGCAGCGACAGGAGCCCGCACCCCCCACACAGGCCCGTCACATCCCGTGAGGAAGGGTGATTCGCCTTCAAACGCACACATTCCCACCCGTAACCGCCCCTCCTGCTTGTCGCCGTACTTTACGACCGCTCCCGGGCGCGCACACGTACATGGCCGCCCGCCCTTTACGTACGCCCCGCCGCACTACACTTCCTGCTCACGTCAGTCGGGCACGCCGCTTGCGGTGTACTTTATGCCCGTGCTGGTGGGGGCGGATCCCAACACGGAAACCGCATGGCCAGAGCACACCAGGGCCCTGCTTGAGGCGCCCCGCCGGTGCCCGCCCGACGGAGCCGACGGGCGCCGCGCCGGAGGCGGCGGCCGGGCCCGCAGGCCCGCGATGGCTCGCGAGAGCGCCCCCGCGGGGATCGGAAGGGATCCCCAGGCGGCATCCCCGCACGGCGCCCAGCCCAATTATGGCGCGCTGAACTTCAGGGACGCGGCGGCCGTGTGGGACTGCGCGCTGCAGTGCGGGCGGATATTCAGGTCTTCGCAGTTTTACAGGTGGGCCGGCGTGTGTCCGTGTGTGAGTGTGTGTGCGTGTGTGTGTGGGGGGGGGTCAGGTCGTTGCAGTTTTGTACGGAGGACGATCATCCCCAGGGCCAACGAGGCTGTATCGGGCGCCTTGCGGGCTGGAAGACAACCCGAGCACGCCTGGTTTTCGATAGGCTCCTGGGCAAGTCCAGCAGCATGGAGGGCATGAATCCCCTTGTCAATCTGTGGGGTGGGTGGGTGTGGGTGTGTGGGCGGGGGAGGGGGATCTAGGGGCCGGTTGGGCTGGGTTGGAATGCTGGTCGCAGCGTGGCGAGGAAGGGGGTCCATGTCGGGGAGCGGAGGGTGTGGCTGCGGGGCGAGCCTACGTCGTCGTTGGGAACGCGGGAGTGGCGCGCCCGGTCTTTGGCGGCATCGAACGGGGGCGAGGTTGTGTGATCGTGATCGGGCGTGTGTCGTGGTCTGAAGTTATGTGTTATTCGCCCGGAGGGGTGGCGAGCTTGGGGTGTGAGCGGCTGGATGAACTGGGGTTGACCAACGTTTTGGATGTGAGTGTGAGTGCCCGTCATCGCCTGCGCGGCGCAAGGGCTGCGGCTTGTCGTGTGAAAGCAAATGCCGCGCAAGGAATCCGGCAATTGGCCCCGTGCGTTGCCTGCGTGCGCGGAGCCATGCGCCGCGATGTCGGCTGGTTGCTCGCCGGGGAGCTGACGTTGGCTGTGGGCTCGTCCCTCCTGCTGTGGCGCAGCGCGGATGTGATCAACAATAGAGGGATCAAGGTGAGACGCGCTGTGTGTGAGTTCTGCGGCGCTCTGTGGCCTGCCTCCCTGGGAGTGGAGGTGTTTTACCTAGCGGCTTTCCGCTGCGTCCCAATTGTCAACGGCCTCAGCGAAGACTGATTGATGCAGCCTGGACACAGCCCGGCTCTGGGTACAGGGGAAGCGTCGAGAACTGCATGCTTCGATAGTTATGGCGCAGAAGAGTCTCGTTGCGGAACGGCCGGCATCGCTTGACTTCACCTTGTCTTCCTTGCGTCAAGACTGACGCTGACGCAGAGGACGTCATTTGGTGTCCCAAGAACGGATGCCTGAGCTTGTCAGCTTTGATTTGGAGAATTCCAACGTTATTGCAGACCCTTGTAGACCTGTGTGGAACACTGGATAGCACCACAGAGCACTGCATCGCACCTCAGACCCTCTGTGGGGAGTGGCTGCTATCTGGTGCTATGTTGGTTGCCTGCAAGTTCTGAATGGCGTCATGTGCGCTGAAGCACCTTTTGTGTTGGCAGACCATTCTAGACCTCCGGAAGTTGAAGGAGCCCTGCAAAAAGGAAAATGTGAGCAAGCGCTTTCTGACAACATGTACTCAGCCTGAGAACGGGATTATTCGCATCGAGAATGTCTTGTGGGTTCCAAGATCCAGTGTTGCTTGCCACCCCCCATACCCCACACTGGACAAAATGTCGGGATGCTGTGGAGGGGGGTTGCAGAAACAGAAGGACTGTGGTCTAGCTGATCCACTTGGGCAACAGTTGGTGGCACCACATCAAGAGGGGGCATGTGGTGGTAAATATCCAAGGCATTTGGAGAGCAGATCAGTTGTCAATCCAAGGCGCCCAGTGGCATGTGTCTGAAAGCATGAGCTGCCACATTTACCCCTTTTCCGCAAGTCCAGAATGGACGCAGCCATTTGGTGAAGTATCCACTTTGCTTAAACTCTTTGTGCAGCTCCCCAGTACAGCATCAACAAGGTCCTGGCAGACACAAGTATATGTCTAGTGGTCAGTTGACAGAGCCTTTTCTTTGCTCTCCAGGACCTGTCGGCCCCTGTGCCTTCTCCTTGTCGAGTCTGCTGCAATAAATGGCAGACCGACGGAGTTCCTAACCCATGCGTTCTGCATGTGGACTTGATCAGCACAACCTTGAAGATGCACATCGTTGCGAAAATGCCTTGTAAAATGTGGTAGGTGCTAAATGGCCGTGATGCAATGCATGATTCTTAGTGACAATAGTTGATGCACTGTAGATGCACTGCCTTTTGTTCTTCCCTGGAACATGGGATTTGCAATGGTCATCCCTTCTGATTGGGTGAGTTTCTCCTGGTGTATCAAAAAAACTCTCAGAGCACACTCCCTGTGTATTTATGAATGTGCAATGTGGATGCTGAATTGTGTTCTACCAGACAGGTGCAGTCAAATATCAAGTCTATGCCACAGTATATGTGGTGGAGATCAAGAAAATGTGCTCTCTGGATGCAAACTGGCAACGATGTGTCGACCGTACCACATGCTGATTGTGGGAGCCGTCAAACAGGGGCTCTGCTATTGCATGCACCCAAGGGGCTTGTTCCTGGCTGAAATATGTTCAATTCTCATGGGGCAGGCATAATGTATTGGCTGGGAACGACTTGCCCAAACTGTGACAGCAATATCCAAAGCTGCATCACCATGGTGGACCCAACTCTCCTTGTGCAGCTCCAGGCAACAGGAACATCGGCACACCATGCTCACATGGCTGAGTTGGCAGATGTGATACCCCTGCATGCAGTCCAACCTCTTGCATGCTTCGCTTAGCTGCCACCACCTCTCTTGGTTTATTTTGTTGACCAGGAACATGTGTTTTCCGACTTGCGGCACAGTGTGGAACGTTGTGCTGTTGCCTGGTGATTCTGCAGGAGACACATCGAGTCCCATGGGCCACTCACTCCTGACTGTACAGAACATTTTGTTTGGATACTGGTGGCTGGTAAATGGGCAGCATAAAATGTGGAACCCGATTCTCCTGTAGCTGATTGTCAGGAAGAGATGTCAACACCTTGCAAGCATCGTCACAGTCTCATTGCAATTCTTGGCTTGAGTGCCAAACCTTGAGAGAAAAAGCCGTGCCTTCTTTCTTTGCAGCATTCATGAGACTTGAGTGATGGGAGTCCATCGAAATGTCAATCGCTATTGCACACCAACACGATTCAGAAGAAGGTGGCCCCATTGCAGAGTGCCAGACAAAGCATTCCCACTGGCTCTGCTGTTGTCACTGGTTGCTGTGGAAATGTGCTGGTCTTTCACCCACCCTTCACAGCCCTGGTCGTTGGCAATCTTCCCGCACTGGTTCGCGGAAGCTGTATACGTTCTGTCGCTGGTTGCTGGTTGCTGTGGAAGTATGCTGGTCTTTCCTCAACAGTTCAAGACCCTGATCGTTGACGATCCGTCTGCACACATTCGCTGAAGCTTCATATGTTCTAGTTTGTTTTCGGGGTAGGGCATACTAGCAATCATTGAGACTGCGATCTCAACAACATGTTTGCAGTTCTGTTTGGATGCTCTGAGCTCGTTTGTGCTCATGCAGGTGGGAAGTCGCAAAGACTGTTTACAAGGGGGACGACCCAGCCGCTGTCCTGTGCCCTGCCATCGCAGACAGCAATATCTTTGGCTTCAAATGGTTTTATGCCGCAATCCTGGACAAGTCTAAGGAAAACATAGCAAAGGCCATTCGTGTGTTTGCCGACGAGTCCAACTACCCCATTCTGGTGCACTGTGTGCATGGTAAGGACAGGACGGGGCTGATTGTGATGCTGCTGCAGAGCCTGTGCGGGGTGCCCAAGCAGTCAATCGTGAAGGACTACACGGAATCTGACCAGCAGCTCAAGAAGGGAAAGGAGGCCAATGAACTGAAGATGGCAGGTGGGGAGGTAGCCATGGCTATGAGTCGCTATTTTCTCTTCACATTGCCTGCATTCCAATAGTCTGCTGTATATTCAAGAGTCCAGGTGCTACCTCCGTCCTGACAGAAGAGATGTGGCCCTTGTGCAGCCTAGCAAGAAGGCGCGAGGCGATGTAAAAGCTCGAAAGGCTGTTTTTGTGTGAATAGATGCTTAACGGCTTAGAGAAGACAGGTTCTGTGCTTTTTAGTTTTGGGGAATGGGGTGAAGGGGCAGGCCGATCAGAAAGCATAGCAGGTCGCAATGGCTTGTATGTGCTCTTTTAGTTTCATTCTGATCCTTGAATATTGCATGTGCCAAAAGGCAAGGAACTTGCAACTCGACATCAGCTCAGTCCAACATATGTGCGCCAAGCGTAGCTATTACCATGTTCATCCTGTTCGAGTTCCGTTCCTCAGCATGGGATTTTTCTAACCCTTGCGGTCCAGTTGCCGATTCACTTGATCTGCAAGACTGTGCATCGCGATGTGGGGGATGTCTCACAGGGGCGGGTGGGGTGTGGGATGGGGTGGGGGGCACTGTCATTGTAACGTTAATGGGGCCACCGTGTGGTAGTGCTTGCCTGATTCTGTTGGGTATTTCACCAGCAATTCTGGGTGGGGCTTGTCCTTTCCCTTGCGCCCTGCAAAGGCAGCAATCTCAGCCGTCTGCACTGTCGCTGCAGACTATCTTAAGCACGATGCTGTCATCGCTGCGGTTCCCACGGACTGCGAGGGGGCGCTGAAGCATATAGAAGAGAAGTACGGCTCTGTGGACGGGTACCTGGAGAACTGCGGGGTAACGCCTGAGGAGATTCAGAAGACGCGGACGAACTTGCTGCACAGAAAAATTTTGGTTTGCTCCGAGAGCGAGCCGCTCAAAGCCTCCGATGGGGCCGAGCTGCTGGGCGTGGAGTCAAACGGCAGCAGTGCTAGATCTACGGGAGCAAGTGGCATCGGATGCCCAACGTGGTGCCCCTCCCAGGGTGCAGGTGGTTGCAAGTCCAAAGTGAGGCACATGGTCGGAAAAGCGTACCGGAAGGTTGTGGGTGCCAGGGCGGACACAATACCGTATCCCCGCTATGCCTACACCCCGCTCCTGCGGCACAGCTCCAGCGAGCCCAATTTACATTTTGAGGACATGGGGGTTTCAGAGGGTGGAATGGGGAATGGGACCACGATTGGGCAGCAGCGAGATTAGTTGGGGATGCCAATTGGGAAGATAGAATGATGCCGTTGGAACAATTTTATTGTTTTATTGGTCCCCGGATTTGAGTGCCAGACCAACGCGAAGCGGTTGGGCGCGATGGGAGTTTTAGGGGCAGCAGGTGTTGTCTCCCACTTGATTGAGCGTGCCGCGCGTGCGCTTCCATTATGCATCATAGGTGTGGGAATATATCGGTGTGGGAATGTTTGAAGTTAGACAACGAGACAGCAGGGCGCCCAGGTGCGCCTGTCTTTTCTAATTGGCATTGTTGTACTTCATTTCAGGTGTAGTGCTGTGCCAGCTTGTGCTGATGCCTTGATGCTCCCTGCGCTGACTTAGTTCGCCCCTCCTTGATGCTGTGCTTGCCCCTTAGCACTGCGGATTGAGACAAGCATCGCAACACGCTTCGCATGTTGTGACCAAGGTGTGACCATGATGGCGTATGTAGAAATGGTCCTGCTTCGGGCCTCAAGTGCTGGGGTGCCTTCGTGGGCTCGATGAGTGAAGCATGGATGGGGACAGTTGTGGAAGGCCAGTCCCACACGAATTGCTGCTGCACGTGTGGAACAACTGCCACCAGAAACGGCAGCGTCAGCGCCCAGGTTCTTCGCTCGTACGTTTCCAGTCCTTGCCAATGACAATGGTGACGTCTGTTCCACACAACAAGCCAAGGGAATGCAGCACTGGCATCCAGCCAAACCATCTCTTCTGGCTGTCCGACCCAGTCCTTAAAGAGAGCCCTGCGACCATGTGGTCCCTTGGCCACGTCTTCTGGTGCAACAGAGTACAATTCTCAACAGGATGGCCTGAAGCAATGATTCCTGTCTTGTGTTGCTCTCCAACGGCACATGCACACTTGCAGGATCCTTGGGTGGAGGATATCCGGCAAAGACTGCCAACATTGATTGGGGCATTTCCCTTTGAGTCCTAACCCTTTTGACGCATGTCCAGTGTTGGTCACAGCATTCGCAGCTCATTGCACTGAGAGCTTAGTTGACCCTTCGGTCCAATATGGAACACCTCCGTCTCTATGCCCTTTCCCATCTTTCGGTTTAGTTGGACTATGTGCACCCCATTCAGAGGGTCAGATTGCAGTTCATGCGAATCTGCGGGTTTTAGTTGCTTATGATGGTGATACACCATGTGCTATGTAGTTTTACAAGTTGCATCTCGTATTCCGGTTGAAAACAACTTGATCTCACACTGAGTGTATGCAATCACTACAAGCCAACACAAGCGGAGTACCCCATTTTGCAGCAGCCCCACCCATACGCAAGTCTGTTGCCGGCCAGAGCCTCATCAGCAACTTAAAATGCCACAACTGGGCAACTCCACTGCCCTCAGATACAGGACGGGTGCGTGGCAGTGCAGACGTACACACCACCACGCAGACGCTGCGACTGAGACGCGCCAGTCTCTCTGAGAACATGTCTGCTGTGCATGGGTCCCGTTTGAAGCTGCAAGGCTGGCTGCAACGTTTGGGTTGGTCTGCCAACCATGTCAAAGTCAAGGTCAAGATGTGCATCACACGATGCAAGGTCTCAGGACATCAGCGGGAGATAATGGCCTCACTGGCAGACCGCCTTGACCTTCATTTGGGTCAAAGAGTGTCCCTGCGTTCCAAGGCACGTTCGCCATTGGGTCAGTTGAGTGACATCCGTGGGGTTGGCGTGGTAACCGAACCAGAACCTGTTCATATGAATGTGCTTCAATCAGAGTCGTCCCACGGACAACACGAAGCCCTTGCGCCTACAAGGCGGTGATCTGCACTGTTGACCTCCGCAGCGTTTGCTCCCAGATTGCAGTCCGCGGCGGTCACACGCGAATATTGACGCCCACCGCATTCAGGATCCAGTCGGCCACCGCGGGGGGCATCATCGAAACGGGCTTCCAAAAGAGCCACGCGTCCAGCCCCACCAGGTACTTGTCCTTCGGAAACCTGGACGCCACGGCGACGCAGATCGCCGCTGCCACGCGTTCGGGCGGGCACGCCACCGGCCTCGTGCGGGCCTCCCACACCTCCATTGCCCTCAACAGGGCGTCGCCCCCGTACCTGATCGATCCACGACACCAGCAACAGCAATAAGAACACAACGAGCTGGTCAATGTCGTGTCTCTGCTGAGGTTAGATCCTCCGACACCTGCTGCTTTTGCGGCGGCGTTTTTCGGTCTTTGTCAACGCAGTTCTTGCGGCAGAAATGCTTTCAAGCACAGCGCGGCGCCCGGCACCCGCACCTTTCCCTGACCCTGCCATCAGCCGCCGCGAAACACTCCGTCATCGACGCCTTGGCCTTGCCGAAGAAGGGCGTGTGGCTGACGCCGGGTGCCACCTGCGCCACGGCCACCCCCATCCCCCTGACCTCCCTCCGCAGCGCGTCGCAGAACGCCTCCGCACCCCACTTGGCCGCCGTGTACGCCGACATCCCCCCGTTGGCCACCATCGTCAGCGCGCTGGTCACCCACACCAGGCGACCCCGCCCCGCCGCCAACATCGGCAGGAACGCCTTGGCCACCCGCACCCCCCCAAGCAAGTTCAGCTCCACCATCCTCCCGTACACCTCCATCCCGTTGGCCTCCGCCAGCCAGCCCTCCGACCCCCCCGCATTGTTCACCACCGCGTGCAGCGGCCTGCCCTCCAATCGCTGAGTCACCAGCTCCAGCGCGCCCTGGACGTCCGCCTCCGCCGTCACGTCCATCACGAACGCCACAATCCGCCCCCCCGAATCCTTCTCCAGGGCCTCCGCGCCAGATCTGGTCAGGCACCCCGCGAACACCGTCGCGTTGTGAGATCGGGCCAGGGACAGGGCAGCCAGGCGGCCGAAGCCGGAGTCGCAGCCCGTGACCAGGACGGATCGGCCGGAGAGGCCGTGGCGGAGGCATGAGGAGAGGAGGGTGCAGAGGAGGAAGAGGGCCAGGCGTGCGGAGAGCAGCGCCAGCGCCAGGGCGCCGCAGAAAGCCAGGGCGCCCATGGCGGGCCCGGGGCGCGCTGGGCGGGCCGCCGGGTGTGGGAACGCGCGCCTGCGTTGCGTGCGGCCAGCCTACACAGGCCTTAGGACTCGGTGGTGTCTGGGCGGGGTGGGGAAGGTGTGGAGCTTGGAGGCGCGGGCCTGTTGTCAGTTTCGCTGAACCACTGTGTGTTTTACTGAACCACTGCTGCACTGACGCACTCTTTTCTTCGCTCCTCGCCTTGATGTGCGAGACTTTTTAATGATGAATTTCAGCGGCTAATGATGTACAGGGACGCGGAAATGGCGCGCAAGCACCCCAGGAACCCTCTTATCCGCTGAACGTCACTATGTTGAGCCCGCTCTGCCTTTGAGCGGAGCCGTGGCTGTTTGCGCCACTTTCTCCCTTGGGAAAGCCTCCAGACCGTTCCGACCCGTCCGCCCGACTGCATCGACAGGCGGCCGCCAGGTGTGCGTGGTGCGCCGCCTGCAGATCGACCCAGAGGACGGTGGTGAGCAGGGTAGAGGGACCCATGGCTGGGCGAAATGCGGGCGTTAGTCAACCACCCTTGTTGATTGTGTGGGGCAAGCGACCATGGTGAATATTCTTTCTGCAACAGTACTAGCCATCCTTATGCAACTTTAGATTGTTCTTTATTGCGACAGTGGCCAAAACTATTCATTCTTGCGACAGCGGCCATGACTTGAACGCGATTGAGAAGCCACGTGCAGCGTGGACTGGCCGCCGGCCATACCTGGGGGGCATGACGCTGGCTGCTGGGGCTTTTGTCGACCAAGCAGCGGTGGTACAGGCACCGGCACCAGGCGAAATGCGCGGGCCAACAGGGCCAGAGATCGATACCACCGGCACCACAGTCGCTCGGCACAAGGGGTAGCAGCGTTGGCACGCCGTTGCTGTTAGGTGTGTGGCCACACAGCAAATGAAAACTGGGACGTGCGTCCATATGCAATAGCAGAGGTGCCCAATGATGACGGCACTCCATCCCTGAAGGCAACCTCGTGGCCAGGCCCTTCCGATGCAATGAAGCTTTTGGCGTTATAATCGCGAAGGCACTGTTCTGGCTTGCAAAGGTCAAGAATATTCAAAGAAACTTCAACACAGTGGGCATCCAGATGGTCTAGAAGTATCTACACACAACAGATGGTCTAGAAGTATTTACACACAACAGACCCTGTACATTGGCTAGGACAAGACGGACAAAGCGGCTCTGTTGAGGAAACAAGGAGGCTCAATTCTAAATTTTCAAATGGTGCCAAATGGTGCGGCTATCCTGATCCATCAGCAGAGACACCCTTACAGACATTCCTCTCTTGCACAAGGCTGGCGTCACAGGAAAGCAGCGCAAGCCCATTCACACCGACAACCTCACATGCACATTATGGGCTCCCATGCCCACAACAAGCCACGTGGTAAGCCCATCACACTGTCAAACGCTCTCCATTCTCAAGATCGAACGTCCTGTGACGTTTTCCACATCGGTAGTGCACACACCTGCACAGCAGGCTTCAACGGCAGAGAAACGACTCAATTCGGGGAAATCCATCCCCACTGCCACCTAGAGGTGGCCAGTATCTGACACAGGACCCAGCACCTCAACATGGTCTATCATTTAATTGCCAGGCTACTGCTGCACCTGGGCTCTCCATTGTCACAGCGGCCACATCCTGGTATTGGTGCCAGCAGCAGCGCTGCGCATTCCCAGCATCCCAACTCAACAAGAAGGCACGTTCCACCCACCAAATGAATTTTCAATACTCCGTCAAATTTTCTTTCCCCACGATGACCCCAGACCACCAGACACGGTTGCCTCTACAGCTGCCATGCATCAAAAGCTACTGACATCCCCCTAACACTGCTACATTTTTACTACGTCGGTCCTTGCAAACTCCCATGCGCAGCAATCGACAGGCAAACAACGTTGATCAGAGCCACAACCGACAGGGGCGCCAAGTCCCACAGCTGGCCTCACAGGCACACGCCCGCATGTGAACAGCAAGCGCAACCCCTTGATGGCGTGATGTGACCCTACTTCAAGACTGCAGTACTGCCACATTAACCTAACCTCTTCCTACGTCACCCTCATGTTATTGGCAACCTTTATTCTAATGGGTTGCAACCGAGGACCTCAGAGTCGATGGCACATTAAATTGTCAAAACTGAGATGGCATTCCCAATACCCACATAATACAGTCTGCAGGCAGCAAGCCCGCAGCAACATATCATTCAGATGCATGAACTGCAAAGGAGGCTCAAGCCGTGGTGGCACAAACCACTTCGACTTGTAGCACCCCCAATCAGCAACGAACGCAAATTCCTCGGACAGATGTCGAGCCCCATGGCCACCAGTTGCCCCACAGCAGTCTAGTATTTACAAAAAAAACTCTTCTTTCTGAGACTGCAGCCAAGACGTGCACACAGGCTACTGGTACGACTTCGACTGCAAGATCTCCACCAGCAAGGGAACAGTCCCCGCTGTGAGCATCTCCATTCTCTTGGCTTTATCCCCCACTGCCAAGCTCCTCAGAGCTGCAGTGGCAGCCTCCTGGCCATCCCCACACCGCAGAGCATCAACAAGGTCTGAAACAGCTCCCCCCTTCTGGTGTACAGGGCTTCCCTCTCCGTGATGGTGTTCAGGGCCGTCTTCTGCCCGACCATCTGCTCCTTGACCCAGACCATCCCCAACACCATCCCGTGTTTGTCCGGCAATGTTCTGAGGGTTGGGGCCCACAGAACGCGAATCCAATCCAGAATTCCCATCTGCACTATTTTGTTCACCGTTACACGTTGTGCACCCTCCCACAGCTTTTGCACCATCATCTGCACAGCCAGATGCCGTGCGATTCATTGCCTTGGCTCGCAGTTTGGCACTGGATGGAGCAACAGCCAGTGGTTCGGTCTCCTCAATCGTTGAAAGCGCTCTTCCCTTCCTCCCCCTTGCACTCACTAGCAATTCCTTCTGTGCCAACTCCAGTCTTGGCGTCTCCTTCCCGTCATCCCTCCCCATAGCCCTTGCCCTTGCCCTCTCAGCTGCCTGCTGCCTGATACGAGTGCTGGTCGACTCCAGGAGCTGCACCAATGACCCAAAAGCCCCAGACCCCACCAAGCTCTCCTGCACATTGCCGTTGCAGGCTGCCAGTTTCGTCATCGCATTTGCCGCTACAGACCTCAGCTCATGGCTCTCTCCATGGTTCACAACCTGGAGCAAAATGGGAGTCCCGCCGCTCTGCACAACGGTCTGCCGGTTGTCGATGTTGATTTCGACCATCCTGTTGATGAGGGCGACTGCCGCCTCCCTTGAATGCATATGACCACCTGACTTGATCAACTCCAGTAGCAGGGGGATTGCTGTATGGCTCACTGCCAGCGAGATTGCCGACAGCTCGCTATCAACAAGCCCCATCAGCAGGTCCTTGGCTGCAGCGCAGTACGAATCGCCCTTTGGCAGCATTGCTACTAGCAGGGGCACAGCCCCTGCAGATACGATTTCTTGCTGGTGCATGGGGCACCTTTCGCCAAGAAAGGAGAGCAGTTCTGTCACCAATTTCGCATCAGCTGCCCCATCCTCCCTCAGAATGTCCACCAGCACCTCGATGCCTCCCTGCTGGCAGATCTCCGTGGGCACAGTGTCCAGAGCTTTTCCCAAATGCTGCAGGGCAGCCAATGCTGCGTTCAGGCCCTCCAAAGGCCCTCGCGATCGCAGGAAGCCCAGCAGAGCGGAGACTGCGTCTGCATGGAACAGCTCCAGGTGGGTCCAGAAGCTGCCACTCGCGAAGTGGCACAGCTCGCATGCAGCCACGACTTGAACCTCCGGGGTGCCAGACTCCAGCGATCTGACAATCAAGGGCAGAGGCAGGCTGGTGACATTGTCGTTGTCACCCTGCGACAGCTGGCGGAGTGACCATGCCGCTGCCGTCTTCTCCTCTGCTTCGCCATCCTCCAGGAGGGCCTCTAAGTCTGCAGTGGCACCAGACTGCATGACTTGTTCGCGGGCGGCACCTGAGTAGCATGCCAGGGAGCCCAACATCCACGCACATGCCTCGCGGCCTCCGCAGCCAGGAAGAGCCACCTTGAGGAACGTTGCCAGAGTGGAGACGCCCTTGCAGTCCACGATGTCCTGCTGTATCTTTCTGCTGACGTCAGCCAGCGTCTTCAGAACCTGCGCAGCTGCAGTCTTGCCATCGTTGGATGCGTTCCTGATAACACCCAGCAGCTGACGGACGATGCCATCTTTCTGGGCCAGGACCTGCAAAGCACCCTTGTTCTTATACAGCAGGGAGGCCAACAGGTCCCCAGCGGCCCGATGCACAGCTGAAATCTCATTCGACAAGAGATCCACAAGTGCTTCAACAACGGCTGGGCGGCCGACCTCCTCGTAACCCCCAAAAGTGCGAGACACGTTCCTGCTGAGCTCCAAGACGGCTGATGCTCTCATGTCTGGTTCTCCAGTGCACAGAAGATCAACCAACAGCGGAACAGACACATCGTTGCTGGCGACCGACGAGCCTGGCACAGGATTTGCTGTCAATCTGTTCATCGCCCAGCCAGCAGCTTCTCCGGACTTCCTACTCCCTGCCCGTGTCAGCCGGGAAAGCAGGGGAACAGCACCGGCAGCGATGATCTCCAATTGAAGGTCTGTGCTGCTGTCGCCCAGCAGTGCCAGCGCTCTTGCCGAAGCAATCCTCACGTCACGTTTGGGTGACTGCAGCATGTGGACCAAGGATGGTATCATGCCCGACTGCGACAGCTGCCTGCGGACCGATGGCTTCTTCTTGGCCCTTTCAGCCAGCTCCACAGCCGTGGCCATGGCAACTTCAATGGAGCCAGAGGCAAGCAGCTTCAATAGGACTGGCGTCGTGTGGTTCGCTGCCTTGTCAGTCTCCCCATCAAGCCCCAAGTCTGGACTGCCCGGTGACATCCCGTGTGTGGGGAATGGCGAGTTGGTTCTTTTGGAACCACGAATGGGTGTCATTGTGACTGGAACAATCTCACAACCACCACTGGCCACTGTTGTCAGAGACGAAATGCTATGCCTGCCCTCAGAGGGTGCACTATTCTCCTCATCCGAAGCCACTGCTGAATCATCTTCGCCTTCACCATCTGCCACATCATCGCTGGCCATAGAAGTGCCATCCCATTCTGTGCTTTGGAGGTTGCCACTGCCCGTCATGCTCTCGTAGTCTTCCAGATCCTTTGTGAAAGGGCACTGCAGCAGCTGTGACACGTTCAAGGACACTGACTCAGATGCTGTTGACTCCTCTTCTCCAAACTCGTCGTCGCTCAAAAGAGTCTCAGGATTCACATCCAGCCAGCGTGACAGAGGATCGCCAATCCCAGTTTCAGCTTGCCCATGGACCACATCGTCATTCTCATCCATGCCCCTCCGTATGGCATTGCTGACATCTGCGTTCACAGATGTTACATCTGCCAGCAAGGCCCTCGATGGGCTCACACAAGCAACTGGCCCTTCAATCAGCATTTCTGGAGTGCCAGCGCTTTCTTCTGCCAAAGCAGCCCTGCCTGTAAGGTGACCTTCGCTTCCTGCACTGCGACGTCCGCTCCGGGGTGTCAGAAAATCCATTTGCTGCCGGCTCTTGTTCAGGGTCATCGCCAAGAGCTGGAGCCTTCCTTGTGTCGACACTGCAGCCTGCTTTGCCTCCAAGAACTTCGAGAACGCGTGTGCAGGGTCATGGTTCCCTCCAGACCAGGAGTACCCACGACTGTGCCCTGCATACCCGCCAGCGCTCTGTTCCAGGTCACATCTGAGTCCCAACGCAGATGCTGGCCTGCGAGAAGGCATATCATCTAGCATCGCGCTCCTGTTGCTAAAATCTGGTGTTGTCCTGCCAGTGGGGCCTGGATGCACCCATGACATATCTTTTGGGGGAGGCACTGACTGTGCACGGGTCTCACAAACTGGTGCCAGGTCCAACCTGGGAACTGATGGCATACCTGCCATGCCAGCAAGCCCGATGTCAGCTGCTGCTGCCAGCTCAGCTAAAGAGCGGGTGCCTGCTGTCATGCACTCCTGTTGGGAGGGCGACTCCACCATAGAGGCTGGCCCAGACCCTTGTTCTTCAGCGATGTCTGACTGCATTGTGGTCATGGCCGATTCATCTGGCATACACAGCTCTGGATAATACTCCGAGCCCGATGTCGAGCCTTGATCATCTTCCCCTGAGCTAGTGTCGGAGTCCGTTGACATGGACACAGGAAACGATGCTATCTGTCCCAGCACAGTTGGAGGGTCTGACATGGAAGAGCCACAAGCTCCCCCCAAGCCAACACCACCTCTATATTCAAATGCCTCAGGAGAGGTTGTCAACGATTCTCCCTCAGAACCCGAGGCACCCATGTGCTCAAAAGCTGGCTCGCTGTCAGACCCAGATGACTTCCCAGGCTTGGAGAACGTCATCGTCTGCTTTACAGGCAGCCCTTGGTGGACTGCAGATCTTCCCTCAGGTGCAGATCTCTGATCAATTCTTGTGTAGTCAGGTGTCCCCATCGACGACCTTCGTTCCTTGCACTTGTTCAACAGGTCCTTCACGCGATTAAGCAACTCAGTATGCTTTGTTGTCCTTCCACTTTCCGGCACATCCGGGCTGAGGGATGCGTTCTGATCACCAGTCCCCACAGTCTGCGTATTGCCCCTCTGCTGTGCTCCCCGGCTGGCCTTCCCTTGCCCTTTGCCGGAACTTCCATCTGGAGCATCTGACTGCTCATTTGTGTGCAGCTGTGCGTTGCTGGCGCCCATCCCAACTCCCCATCCCCTGTCACCATTCATCTTGCAGTCAGAGACCCTTTCCAACATCCCCTCCGCCTTCGCGTCATCAGCATCTGCTCCCTCCAACGCCCCTTCTGCCATGGTCGACGTCCCTTTCCCATTGTCAACAGCAGAGTTAGAGGCCAAGCCCACAACTGTTGCACCTTCTTCGTCCCCAACTTGCTCATACCCATGCACTTGCACCCAAGCACTGGCAAGGCTCTTCAGGGCGAAGTTGGGAGTGAGCTGCGTGCTCCCCACCTTCTGCCCTGTGACAGGGCATGTTGCATTGCCCCTTCCAAACCATTCCTGGATGCATTTGAGGTCATACGTTTGGCCTGTTTCCACCAGCACCACTGGCTCTCTCATGATCTGGTGAGAGATAGGACAGCAGTACTCCACTGGAGGCTGGGGGCCCGCTGTGCTGGGTGTGTAAGGTATGGCTGCACTGCTCTGCAGGGCTTTGATGACCTTCAGCACAGAAAATGGCACAAGTAAGCCCTTCTTCTACTCATGGCCCATTTTCGTAGATAGATGCACATTCATGGTCGGGCTCTTCCATTGCTGCTCAGCACCTGGCTGAGCTCAGCAACAGGACAGGGTGTGTTGCACAATGTGCACAAATTGGAGCAAAAGAGAGGTTACAACAAGCAGCAGTTTTATAAAAAAAAAGTTTATAGAAAGAAACATCTTCATTTATGAATGGAAACATCTTTGCATTGTGGTGCTTCAATGTCGGCACAACACCGTTGCTGAACGGGATGGCCCTGCCACCACCTAGATCGAAGGAAGGCCATTCAGCAAGTTTGTTGGTCCCCACGCGTAACATAGGCAACGCCACCCTCAACGAACAGTGGTAACAACACCAGAAGTTTGTGCTGTAACAGGTTCCAACATCATCCTCTTATGCCAAGAACTTGCTACAATCTGTAACCAGTGCTATGCAGTGAGATTCAACAGCTAGGAGTGAAAGTTCCTGCAACAGACACTGTATGGTACATGATTCGCCACAACCTGCTGCAGCACAAATTCCTCCGCAAGATCCTTCTCTGCCTTTGCCCTGGAGAGCTCCCGTCTCAGGCCCTGTAGCTCTGCCAGCATGTCCAGCTTGTCTGGAAGCTGGCACTTCCAGAGAAGGTTGCAAATCCGAGAGTACACAACCTTGGACCCTGTTGGGAGGCCCTTCAGGCGTGTGACCTCCTGATGCAACTGCCTTAGGACTTTGCTGTTCTCAGTGCAGCTGTCAAAGCTGATGGACTGCAGTTGTTCAGAGAGGCGCTGCAAGTCCTCTTTCCACGCGGACGGAGCCTAAGGGTGGCAACAAAACAAGTGTGCAGTCAGGCAGCTGCAGGAGGACTCTTGACAACCTTCTGATTGCAATTCTCAACGCCCTCAAAGTGCTGCCCTTGTTCAAGAAACTAGAACGGTATTCGCATATTCTCCATCTCAAAACCAAAAAACAAGATTTACCCAATGTGTCACACATCATGACTTCGCGATTACATCCATTCCCTCCATCAGAACTCAATTTGAACACATAATGTGGCTGTCGAAAGTACCACAGTCGCACTTTGCTGCAAAAGGGAAATATTGCAGGTGGAAAAAATTGAAATTAAAGCAGTAGTTCATGATCTGCATCAGCTCAACTTCCTCAAAGGCTCCTTCTCACACAGAACACAGGCACAACAAAACACACAAGAACACATTGGTCATGGTTTACAGAAAAGGAACTATCACTGCACAGAGATCGCAAAGCTGTGAATGCAGAATTATGTGGCAACATTGCACTTACAGCTGTTTGTGCACCTCTCAGAGCTGTCAGTGACGCATCCAATTCATAGCAGACCATTTGGAACTGTGACATCATGGCTTCTGTCTCCAGGATGGCCTGCAGACTTCCCATTGTGGAGAAGCGCACAACTGCAACATGTGCCTTCTCCAGCGCTGTTGCGATCGATTCTGCAATGCCCCACAACAAACAAATCAAAAGAGCAAAGTGGCAAGCTGGAACACACTGGCAACACTTGGCACACCAGATGAAAGGAACAGGAAGAGGTTGGACAAGGCTGTAAGGAAATAGAAGTCACTGGCAAAGACAATGGATATAATTTGCTACCTGTACCAAAGCGTTGAATATAAATGGGACCACGACTGGAAATGTGGCAGCCAACATTGTCAACGTCTTGCACACGAAACAGGGAACAATTCGTCAGCTCCAGCCTCACCCAAAGCAACATCGCGCATCCCCGTGGCGTCATGTTTCGACTCGAATTCCACCTCTTCAAGCAATGGTCGGACCCTGCCAACCAGGCGAGACAAGGTGCAGCAGCACTCCCGGTTGACGGAGGCCGCCCTGGCACTGTAGTGAATGGCCTGCACGAACCCGAGCGCGGCCTGCAGGGCCAGCGGCATGGTGGAATCGCCTCCCGAGACGGTGTCCAAATGCCCCTCTGCCTGGGCACCAAGACGAGTGTACACATCATTCCTCGTGATTGTGCCGACCAAGGGGAAAGGGAGGGATGCCTCAATGCAAGCCACGAGCGCCGAAGCACCCCGTGTCTGCAAAAGAGACGAAGTTCAAAAATGGATTCCTGAATTGTAGGTGATTTCGTTGTGCCGCCAGCAGGCTGCGGTTGTGCCGCGACGGGACGCGCAGCCGCGGCGCAGCGGGAAAAAGAATGAGAGCGTAGACGGGCAGTTCAACCGCCTACTGCAGTAGGCGCCGCTGGGAGGACGCAAGTCCCGCACGAGCGCGGGTGGGTCACAGCAGTGGGAGAGTATGCACTGCGCAGTACGAGTGGGAGAAATCGCGGAGTTTCTCAACGCGGGCTAGGCAGACCGGTAAACTCCGGATTGTGGCCCAGCAGAGAGTATGAGGCGCCGTTGGCACCCGCTGGCTTCCAGCTGAGGCGCCTGCCGCCTCCGGGGCACCGCCAGCAGGGACCCGGGGTTCCCCGATCCAGTCAATGGGGGATCCCACAGGGTCGGGAACCCTGTCCAATTTGGGGGGGGGGGGGCAGCCTGGGGCCCCAAACTCCGCACCGGTGCCACGAAGTGCTGTAGTCAGAGAATTCAATCCCCACCCTCCAAAATGCCGCCCTCCGACGACAAATTACCGAATTGCCGGTGGCCCATTGCAGGGGCCTCGCCGCTTCGCGGTCTCCCAGGGGCGCTCCCGGCGGTCAAAAAGGCGCTCCGCAGCGACCGGCCGCCGCACCCGGACGCAGCAGCAGGCAACCCCGCGACGTGAGAGTGCGTTTCTCCGAATGCGCGGACCCCGCGCGCTGCGGTCCAAAGGCCGCGTCGGGAATCGGGCCCGTGCACGCAGCACGGCGCCCCCCTTAAGGCCACCTTACTCAGGCCCACGTTCCCCTGAAGCGCAACAAAATCGACCGCACACCGCAACGGGCGTCCGTGACCATCTCCAGCCAGCCTCCCGGAAGGCCGCCGTCCGACACTCACCCGGTTCCGCGTTGGCGAAGCGAAACGCGCAGCACCTGGTGCCCCCCCTTCCCGTCGGCCCCTGTCCCCGCCGCAGCAGGCACCCCCTCCCTTCGCCCCTTCGTGAACACAGTCTCTCGAGCTCAAGCGCGCTCCGCCGACCCGGCCGCTGCGCGGGGCGCCCGACGACCCACCCCCGTGTGGCTGGAAGCAGCAGTTCTGCGTGCTCTGGCGCCCGCGCCCCCCAGCGGCACTTATATGTGGACATCTCATACATCTGGGAAGCCACGTGACTGCGGATTGGCGCGCGGGATGGGGAACCGGGGGGGAAAGCCCGCGCTGACGCTCCGGCTGGAAAGCGTCGCCCTTTTCATCGCAAATTAGGGGGTGGGGTGTCTCAGGGTCGCGCAACGGCGGGCCCCGTGAGCGCCCAACGACCATATAGCCGTCACCCTTGGCAACGTGTGTGGGTGCCGTGGGGTGCTGTGGGCGCTATATAGCATATATAGAGAGATATGAGAGAAGTGTGAAAAGAGCAATTAGGTGTAAAGTATGCCGGTGGCTATTGTGGTGCATGGGATAAGGGAAAATGGTGATTGTAATGTAAAGCACACGGGGTAGTATGTTTCTCTGGCAATTGGGTTATTAAGAGATTAAAATATACTTCCTCCGTCCGGAATTAAATGAAACAGTTTGTTGACTGACCATATTTTTATCATCTACTTTTTTTTCCTTCAGAATTGGACCAGCGTATCTACTATGTGTTTAGTCAATGCTGTCAAAATTTTATCGCCAGAAAATAAGATTCAGACATATGGTTGTACTTTGAAGCCAAACGACTGAGCTCCAGAATTTGAACATTCGCAGTCAATCCCCCACCCCGCCAAAACCTAGCGCCCCGGATCCATGAAGGCCTAGTGCACGAGTGATGCCCCTTCCAGTAGTCTTCAAAGTAACAGAAGGGGGGAGCTGCCTCGGCGCTCGGGCTCTAGACAAAAGATCGACACCCTTCGCAATGCACGATCGACAGAATTGGCACCTGTGTTTGCGTACCGCCATCGATGGATGCTCGAAATCCCCCCATCTTCCACAACAGCACACCGATACGCCTGGGATCCCCCACTGCCTAGCGGTCTCCTGGTGGCTAAAGACTAGCCGTTAGATATTTGCACGCAACATAAGTTTTAGGTTCAGCACAGATTTCTGATTAGGTGCCTTCCTGATGCAAGCAAACCCTCTTTCCAAACAGGCTTCAACCCTGCCAAACATGACAATGGAGGGCTTGGATGCTCTACGAGAGACCCCACATGTCCCTATGATGGCGTTGTTTCATCTTGCAATGGCACGGGCGAAGCTCAATTGCAACGGCACCCTTGAAAATAGCGTGAACGGTGCACAAAGTGTTTCTCGCGGCACATGCCCACCATAGCCAATTCAACGATCTTTTGGCTGCCACGGAGCGAGGGCACGATCACATTCTCCCAACCCTTCCGTGGCGGTCTTAGCACCCATGACGTCCTCGCCCCTGGTGGGTGTTGCGGCCCCGTTGGCGGCCGCTGGTTTCCAGAGGCGTGGGGGTCGCCCTGCCCTGCGGTTCGGCTGTTGGAGGTTAGCCGGCTCTCTCCACCTCGGACGGTGGGCGTATCCGGGGCAGTCGAATCGGCGGTCGCACGGTGGGCCCAATGCTCGACGGGGATCGATCCCCGGGGCCTGCTGTCGGCGAGAGGTGGCGGCGCAGCGAGGCGGTGGTTCGCTGGCTCGAGGGAGGCCAGAGAGTGGGCCAAAGGATGTTACATGGATTCGCAGCATGCGCGCGCACATATCACATGCGCGATGCCCGATCGCGGGTCCATCGCAGTCGCATCAAGACAAGACAAGTCAAGTGCGCATCCAGGAACATCGTCACCGTCCACCGTTCAACTACGATCGACCCATTGTCCTCTAATTCCAAGCGTCTAACACCCGACCCCCTGGCCCTAAGTACTACGACTTCAGGAGGCCACATCTTCACCGTTTCTTAACGGAATCGGGCGTTTAAAAGCGCGTTGGAATCAGGAAGCTCTTAATAACGTCCCCAAAAGGTCTCGATTTACCTAATTACGTAATTCCCACTTCAGAAATGTTAAATAAGCCTAAACCCCAAGCAGCCATGTCACAATACTCCCCCCTTGGGCTAGCTTTTGCCCCCGAAAGCACACTATCCCATACTAGAGGTGGCCACCCGGATCCGTTAATAGCGGACAGAGGTTAATTTACATTAATTTTCTGTTAATTAACGGAAAATAACGAAAAAAGACAAAAATTAACCAAAAATTAGCAGATTTTTGGATTTTTTGGGGATTTTTGGGTTTTAGTCATACTTATAGTTTATGGAATTCGCTATTAGAGAGTATGTTTTTATTTTATTTCAACCTATGCATACTAGATTTTCAACTAGCCGCAGTTGTTGTGATTTTTTGGGTTTTTTTTCGATTTTTTTGGATTTTTTTCGTTTTTTCTGAATTTTCTCCCTTTTTCTTTAACGAAATTTAACGGACAGCTGATAAAAATTAACGAACCGGATTTAACGGACCGGATGGCACCCTTG